AAGCGCTAGCCTTGAGCTGAAGAGCTGAGGGACAGTGCCCAGGCCCAGAGTTCAGGCCCCACGACCGGAACCAAAAAAAAAAAAAAAAAAGACTTGTTAGAATTAACTCATTATTGTTTCTCTTCCAGGATCAATCAATATCTTTTGTTTTTCTAAGTAAGAAATAGCTGACCAAGCTGGGCACCAATGGCTCACACCTATAATTCCAGAACTCAAGAGAAGCCAGCAGGACAGGAAAGTTTGTGAAACTTTTTCTTTCTTTGTTGGTCCTGGGGCTTGACTCTGGGCCTGGGTGCTGTCCCTGAACATGTTTGTGCTTAAGGCTAGTACTCTACACATGCTGGCTCTCTAATAAAGACTCTTGATGTGGCTTCTTTTGTTTCTTGTGACCAGTTCCACTACCAAACGGGAAAAAAAAAAAAAAAGCACTCTGGAAGTAACATAATTTTAAGGGCTGCTGCAATAAACCCCAGAAAGACCAAAAACAAAATATCATGTGCGTGCACACGCGCGCACGCGCGCGCACACACACACATGTAAACATAAGCAAGCTTACAGCAAAACTTCCTTTTTGGAGTAGAGGAAAATATGTTTCTGTATTTATACAAAACAACTATATGAAATGAGTAGATGAAATATATTTATAACTCTTAAGAACATTGTCATACTCAAATTTTATGACTTGTTACCCAGGGATTAAAGACAAGTATCTACAAGTAAATTTGTCTCTTATGATCACCATCAATTGGTAAGAAAAGTATTTCACTTCCATCAAATAAAAAAAAAATTCACCCAAAGAAACATAGGTCCCATAGTTTCCCTTATTTGCAATAACTAGTATATGTCTGAGACAAGCAGAAAAGGTCAAAAGCTATGTACATATGACCAGATAAGATGAAGTTAACCGAAATGAACCCCAAGATAGGGACACAAGTGGTTTTTTTCTTGCTTGCTATTGTTTCTAATGTATTTATAATGTACCATGTGATTTTTTTGTTGCTTTGTATGTTTCTCCCCCATGGTATAACCCCTGTTTTCACTGTATTTGGTGTCAGTATAATTTGGGGAGGGAAAGGGAAAAAACAAAATGTTTAAATAGGGATACAGGTTGACCCATTGGAACAATGAGATGTATAAGACACTATGTTGAAAATGAACTTTACAATTTGGGGTGGGGGGGGGTGGAGTGTAGTTGTGAAGATGGGAAGGAAGGGATTGTAAGGGAAAAACAAAGGAGGAAGCAACAATGCTTGATAAGAAATGTAATCATTACCTTACTCATATAACTGTAACCCCTCTGTACAGTATTTTCACAATAAAAAAAACTTATTTAAAAAAACATTTGAAAGAAAATTAAAGTAAGATTACTCTAACTTTCTGCTGAGTTACTCTGTGACTTGTGTCTCTGATAGGTCATAGTCTCACCTGACAAGTCCAGCTCCTTAGTGGAAGACAAGTTAGCCAGACTCCAGCTGTCACTTCGGGCTGCCAGTACAAACTTGTGAGCACTGATATGCCTGCCACCAACCTTTATCTTCAGGTCACTGATTAAAAAAAAAAAAAAAAAGCACATTTATAACAAGAAAACTGTAATCATAATTAGATATAGCTAGGATTCATAGCTGGTAAGTATATATGTATCAGCAAAAGAAAATAATCAGAGCAAAAATTATTTGTTGGGCCATGTTTGTAGTATGTTGCTGGAAATATTTTCTTATAAGTACTGCGCGCTAACCAATTGTGCCACTGGAGCTCCTGGAAATATTTTCTATTTCTAACTATTTTTAACTTTAACTCATACATGATACTGTTTTTTCAAATACATTTTCTAATAAGTCCCTTATGGTGGTGAACCTACAAGTTAGATGATGAACATTCATAAAGATGTTTTATGAAAAGATAAAGATAAGTCATCAGAGAGAGAAAAATGGAAAGCTTAAAGACTGTGATGGCAGCTCTGAGTCTACAGTTGCTGCTATATTCAAAAAATATTCAACAAAATATGTCTTACATTCAGACCTAATATTGTCACCTATAACTATTAAGAAATGAGGTGGGCTGGGGTTGGGAAAGTGGCTCGGTGGTAGAGTGCTTGCCTTGCATGCATGAGGCCCTGGGTTTGATTCCTCAGCACCACATAAGCAGAAAAAGCCAGAAGTGGCGCTGTGACTCAAGTGGTAGAGCGCTAGCCTTGAGTTGAAGAGCTGAGACACAATGCCCAAGCCCAGAGTTCAGGCCCCACTACCAGCAAAAAAAAAAAAAAAGGTTGGTTGAAGCTGGGCATGGTGGTACAAGCCTGAAATGTCAGACTAAAGAAGGACAATCACAAGTTCAAGATAAGGGAGGATACATAGTGAGATTTTATCTTTAAAAAAATATTTTTTTTCAAAACATGTCCCTATTTATGATATATGGACATGAGGACATCTGAAAAGAGATTCCTAAACAGATATTTGTGTTTAACTCTGAAATGTCAAATGCTGAGAGAGAAAAGTAGCAGGGCAGATGATCCACTGGGTTGATGAGAGCAAGTACATGGCTAAGCTAGCAGAAAGGCAAAATCATTCTTTATCATTATCCTGCTTATATTTATCTTTCTTTTTATTTCACATTCCCTTTTTAAATTATTTATTATGTTGGAAAGCCTTCAGAAACAAAGAAAAAATACATGGGGGGGAAAAGAAAAATTAACTTATCTACTTAAAGACCCAAAAGGAATATTATTTCTATCCAATATCTGACATAGATGTTACAACATACTTTGTGTAGTGTACTGCCTAGAACACACTAGATGCTGCCAGACACTGATGGCTCACATCTATAATCCTAGCTACTCAGGACAAAAAAAACAAAACTTTTTAATTGTGAGAGGAAAATGGAGACAGGTTGCAAGTGAGAGAGCACCAGCAATGAGTAAAACATACAAGCAAAAGCTTGAGGCCCTAACTTCAAGCCCCAGTACTGGTGTGCACATCTGTGCGCATGCATACACATACACATACACACACACACACTAAAAAAAAATCAGCTGGGTGCTGGTGACTCACACCTGTAATCCTAGTTACTCATGAAGTTGAGATCTGAGGATCGGATTTCAAAGCCAACCTAGGCAGGAAAGTCAATGAGACTCTTATTTCCAATTAACTGCCAGAAAAATGGAAATGAAGATGTAGCTCAAAGTGGTAAAGCACTAGCCTTGAGCAGAAATTCAAGGACAGTGCCCAGACCCTGAGTTCAAGTACCACAACCAACAAAGACAAAAGAAAAATCAAAACCAAGCTGAAACTATTTCATTACAACATTTAATATTTATATTTTCAAACAGTTACAATAGTAAGAGAATATTTTCATCAATAAGTAGAACTAATATTCTATATATAACTGCCTCAAATCATATCCTATGAAAAAAAGTTCAATGAAAATCAGTGCCTTCTTACAAAGTACAAATCACTTTAACTCTAACATAGTTACAAAGAATTAAGACACTGTATAAAGGAAATGTACTCATTACCTGACTCATGTATTTATAATCCCTCTGTATATAACCTTTATAACAATATGGTAAATTTAAAAATAAAAATAATTAATTTCTAATAAATGGAATCTTGCTGTCTATATTTGTTTTATTTTCGTGCTGGTACTGGGGCTTGAACTCAGTGCCTGGGCACTGTCCCTGAGATTCTTATACTCAAGGCTAGCACTTGAGCCACAGCACCACTTCTGGCTTTTTTTTTGGTGGTGGTTTTATTGGGAATAAGAATCTCATGGACTTTCCTGACCAGGCTGACTTCAAACTTCAATCCTCAGATCTCAGTCTCCTGAGTAGCTAGGATTTACAGGTGTGAGCTTACAGAGCCTGCGTACTATCCCTGAGCTTTTTACACTCAAGGCTGGTGTTCTACCATTTGAGCCACAGCTCTACCTATTTTTTTTTGTCAGTTATGGGGCTTGAACTCTGGGCCTGGGTGCTATCCCTCAGCTCTTCAGCTCAAGGCAAGCATTCTACCACATGAGCCACAGCACCACTTCCAGTTTTCTAGTAGTTTGTTGGAGATAAATATCTCATGGACTTTCCTGCCCAGGCTGGCTTTGAACTGCAATCCTCAGATTTCAGCCTCCTGAGTAGCTAGGATTATAGGTGTGAGCCACCGGCGCCTGGCATGCATACACAGCTCTACTTTTAGCTGCTAGGTGGCTAACTAGAGATAAGAGTCTCATAGACTTTCCTGCCCAGGCTTGCTTTGAACCACAATCATCAGAACTCAACCTCCTGAGTAGCTAAAATCATAAGACAGCATTTACTGTCTATGAACTTTTCTATAAAATTCCTACAACCGTTGCTGGGCAGCACTGGTGCAGGCCTACAACCCTGGTTATTGAGGTTGAGCTCTGATGATCAAGTTTCAAAGTTAAGCCTCGTGCTGGTGGCTCAAACCTGTAATCCTAGCTACTTAGGAGGCTGAAATCTGAGGATCCCCCTTCAAAGCCAGCCTGGGCAGGAACATATGTGAGACTCTTGTCTCTAATTAACCACTAGAAAAACTAGAAGTGGCACTGTGGCTCAAGTGGTAAAGCACCTGCCTTGAGCTGAAGAGGCCAGGCCCAGAGTTCAAGCCCCATGACCAACAAAGGGGAAAAAAAAAAAGAGAGAGATTCAAAGTTAGACTGGGAAGAAAACTCTGAAAGACTTCATCTCCAATTCCAAAGCAAAAATCTGTGAAGCCCTGAGTTCAAACACCAGTACCACCAGAAACAGAGACAGAGTGAGAGAGAAAACTAGTAAGTTCTCTGTAAAAATAGTTAAGACCCGTGTATGTGTGTGTGTGCGTGCGCGCGTGCGCGTGCATACGTGCGCGCGCTTGCAGTCATGAGGCTTGAACTCAGGGATTGGGCACGGTCCTTGGGCTCTTTTGATCAAGACTAGCACTCTACCACAGACTTGAGCCACAGACTTTCCTGTCCAGGCTGGCTTCAAACTGTGATACTCAGATCTCAGCCTCCTGAGCTGCTACAATTAGAGGCATGAGCCAACAGTGTCCACATTGTCTTTTTTTTTTTTTTGCTGGTAGTGTAGCTTGAACTCTGGGTCTGGTTGCTGTTTCCAGGCTCCTTTTGCTCAAGACTAGTACTCTACCACTTGAGCCCCAGCACCACTTCTGGCTTTTTCTGTAATTAATTTGAGTTAAGAGTCTCATGGACTTTCTTGCCTGGGCTAGCTTTGAATTTCGATCCTTAGATCTCAGCCTCCTATGTAGCTATGATTACAGGTGTGAGTCATAGGCACCTAACTCATAAAAATAAAAGAAAAATAAAAAATTCATTTCAGTCAATTAAGAAGTATTTTTCTGGGCCAAGGATGTAGCTCAGTGGTGGAACACTTGCCAAGTACTTACAAAAAGTAGGTCTGATTCTCAGAACTGAAAAGAAAAAAAAAAGTATCTTTTTAAAATACATAAACTAAAGCTCATGCCTGTAATCCTCACTACTCAGGAGACTGATATCTGAGGATAGCAATTTGAAGCCAACAGGGGCAGAGACTCTTCTCTCCAATTAACCACCAAAATGCTAGAAGTAGAGCTGCGGCCCACATGGAAAAGCCCTAGCATTGACCAAAAGAGCTCAGGGTCAGCAACTAGGTCCCCAAGTTCAAGCCCCAGTACCAGTACACAGGATTTTTTTTTAAGAGTTTCTTAGCTGGGCACTGGTGGATCATGCCTGTAATCCTAGCTACTCAGGAGGCTGAGATCTGAGGATTGCGGTTCAAAGTGCCCAGGCAAGAAAGTCTGTGAGACTCTTATCTACAATTAACCACCAGAAAACCAGAAGTGGCACTGTGGCTCAAGTGGTAGAGTGCTCACCCTGAACTGAAGAGTTCAGGGACAGCACCGAGGCCCAGAGTTCAAGACCCACGACCAAAAAAAAAAAAAAAGTTTCTTAAACATTCAATAGGAAAAATTATGACCTGCATTCATTCATCATGAATACAGTAATACAGTGAAGAACTACAGCAAACTATCATTTTAAATCACTTATGGGACTAAACAGTTTTGTTCTCTTGAACTAAACATATGCATGAGTTTTTTTCCACATGATCCACAGAAAAAAACGTAAAACTTACATGTCAGTCAATTCAGTTACTAAGATGCAAATAAAAGTACTATTTAAATTCTTCAACACTACACGTGCTATGGGACGAAGGTGCTTTTTTACTACTCTGCTTTAGAAACCCATTTCCCAATTTAAATACATCATCTCAAGAGCTGTCCACTACAGGAGCTCTACTTAAGTATAGCTAGTAACAGCCACTTCAATCTTCTTTAGATAAAAGGCAGGTTTTAAAAGCTGAAGGGAGATTTGCTAGAATCATGAAACCACACACAGCTGCTCAGGTAAGAGAGACCAGAAGGGAACTTGCCCAGTCTCATTCTCATGGTCTCCTAGAGCTACAACATTTGAAATGTGGTCCATTGATGAGTGATATGGCAAACACCTCACTCTTGGAAGAGAAACTGGAGCACAGGAAAGACGTGACAGAAACAGACATATGTGGGACTCAGAATTTTTGCTTGTCCATGGAAAAAGGGTTTGAGGCAACCACATCTATACAAGATACGGAATTACGCCATTCACTTGTTTGTTTTCCACAGTCACCATCCCAAGTCAGTCCTTCACTGTTTCTGCTCTGGCTTGTGTACATTATAGGCATTCTCTCGGCTCTCTTCTCTTTATTTTTTTTAATTTTTAAAAATGTTTGTCGGGGGGGCTGGGAAGGTAGCTCAGTGGTAGAGTGCTTGCCTTACATGCATGAGGCCCTGGGTTCGAGTCCTCAGTACCAAATAAGCAGAAAAAGCCGAAAGTGGGGCTGAAGCTCAAGTGGTAGAGTGCTAGCCTTCAGCTGAAGAGCTGAGGGACAGCGCCCAGGCCCAGCTTTCAGGCCCCACGACCGACCAAAAAAAAAAGTTTGTCAGGGGGCTGGGAAGGTGGCTCAGTGGTAGAGCACTTGCCTTGTATGCATGAGGCCCGGGTTCGATTCCCCAGCACCACATAAGCAAAAAGAAAAAAAGCCCAAAGTGGCGCTGTGGCTCAAGTGGTAGAGCGCTAGCCTTGAGCTGAAAGTTGAGGGACAGCACCCAGGCCCAGAGTTCAGGCCCCATGACGAGACCCCCCAAAAAAAATGTTTGTCGGTGGTGGGGCTTGAACTCTGGGCCTGGGTGCTGTCCCTGAGCTCTTCAGCACAAGGCTAGTGCTCTAACACTTGAGCCACAGCATCACTTCTGGTTTTCTGGTGGTTAATTGGAGATAAGCATCTCATGGACTTTCCAGCCCGGGCTGGCTTTGAGCCATGATCCTCAGATCTCAGCCTCCCAAGTAGCTAGGATTACAGGCATGAGCCACCAGTGCCAGGGTATTATTTTATTTTTTGTCAGTCCTGGGGCTTAAACTTGGGACCTGGGTGCTGTCCCTGAGTTCTTTTGCTCAAGACTGGCATCTACCACTTCAAGCCACAGCTCCCCTTACCTCTTTATTTTTACACATACAACCCTACAGGCTAATCTACCGGCACTTGGATTTAAAGAGTCCCTATCTCAAAAGCTGCCATGTGCAGACCAGAGGATTAAGTTCAGATTTATCACTTAAGCATTCACTGCAGTCCTTTTTGTCCCTTTTCCCTCATTATTCCCCTACATAGGCACATGAGCTAACCTGGCCCCCCTCTCACTATCCTCTAAACCCTCTGTGTCCCTCCTATCTTTGAGCCCTTACTCAGCTACTCTCCTTACTTATAATATCACTGTCTTTACCTTGAATTCAATGTAGACTTTAGCATCTACTTCAAAACTCAATTTTTAAAAAGTGAACAGGGCTGGGAAGGTGGCTCAGTGGTAGAGCGCTTGCCTTACATGCATGAGGCCCTGGGTTTGATTCCTCATAAGCAGGAAAAAAAAAAGCCAGAAGTGGCACTGTGGCTCAAGTGGTAGAGCACTAGCCTTGAGCTGAAGAGCTGAGGGACAGTGCCCAGGCCCAGAGTTCAGGCCCACGACCGGACCCCCCCCCGCCAAAAAAAGTGAATAATTATCCAAATACAATGTGTCTACACACTTATTTGCCTAAAATGTATTTATTATTTAATCCTCAAAACAACCCTAAGGTAAACACTGTAGCAATACCATGCTACATATTAGGAACCTATCACATGTTCTGTAACAGCCAACAACCCCTTAGGCTGCTAACAGACTTGTGGCTCCAAAATCCACTCAACCATTATGCTATACCACACAGTGATTCCAGGATTCCAAGAGAGCATGACCATTTCCTCTCTGAATTCCTAAGCATGTAAGCTAACTCCCCCATCTTCAAATAAAGTTGCCTTGATAACATCCTTGCCTCAATGAGTTTATATTCCAGGAAACAAAGGCTTGATAATAATTTTTATTAGAGAAATAAATTTGGCCAGAAAGTGAATGAGGAAGAACTGGAGATGTAGTTCAAATGGTAAAGAACCAGAGCAAGGACATGGCCCTGAGTTCATACCTAGTACCACCAAGAAGAATAGAGGAGGGAAGGGGGGGGGAGGGAAGGGAGGGGAGGAGAGGGGAGAAGGAAAGAGACAGGGACAAGGAGAGGGAGGGGGGAGAGGGAAGGGAGAGGGAGGGGGAGGAGGAGAGGGAGAGGGTGGAAAGACAAGCAAGCCAAAAAGGGAAGGAGAAGGGAAAGGGAAAGGGAAAGAGAAAAGGAAAGGGAAGGAAAGGGAAAAGGAAAGAGAAGGGAAGGGAGGGAAGAGGAAAGGGAAGCAGAAAGGGAAGAGGAAAAATGAAGCTGGGCATCGGTGGTTCATGCCTGTAATCCTAGCCATTCAGGAGGCTGAGATCTGAGGATTGCAGTTCAGAGCCAGCCCAGGCAGGAAACTCTGTGAGGCTCTTAACTCCAATAAACCACTCAGAAATCCAGAAGTGGCACTGTGTCTCAAGTGGTAGAGCACTCGCCTTGAGCTGAAGAGATGAGAGACAGCACCCAGGCCCAGAGTTCAAGACCCACGACAGACAAAAAAAAAAGAGAGAGAAAGAGAAAATGAATAAGGGTTATTTGGAGAAGAGGAAAAGGAGAAAGGAGAATGGTAGAGAAGAGTAAGATTGACTATAACATATTGTAACATGTGTGGGAAGATAACAATGTATTCCCTGTTGTATAACTAATATAAGCTAAATTTTTTAAAAAAGTGAATGGAGAAGCTGTCATGTGCTATGACATGGTTGAGGTCTCACTTCCCTTTGTGCCCAGGAGCTCACCTGTACTGCTCCTGCTCATAGAGGTTTGCCACTATCGTCAGTAAACGGCTGATGAAGGACTCACTGCTGTTTTCTTTGTTTGCTTGTGCAGCCAAAAGACTGCATCTCTTCTCTGTCTCTGCCAGTTTCTTCTGCAGCTTGACATACTCTTGTCGAAGAAGCATCAAGTGCTTCTCCAACTTAGCCACTTCTTCTGTAAGGGAAACAAAGAAGCAAGGATAAAGCAGGTGGAAAGCAGACAGCACTCCACATGGGAAAGCTACAAAAAATGAATAGCTATGTAACCATTCTACTAATTCTTGGTAACTCATACAGGTAAAGAATGGCTTTGTTTATGGTGCCGGTCAACAGTCTAAGAAAGTCAGAAACACACATAAAAGATGTGGTAAGTATCTACTATGCAAATCTTTTAATGAAAAGGCCAGAAAGCTCAAGAAAATCACATTGGTATTTTTCAAATCACTAATAGTGCTATAGAACTTTCATGTTACATGCTTTCTAAAAGCTTTACATGAATTCTCTCACATAATCTCATGACAACCACATGTTGGATACACTATTACCCGTTATACTTTAAAGATAAGGACACTAGAAAGCCAAGTGCTGATGGCTCACCTCTGTAATCTTAGCTACTCAGGAGGCTGAGCTCTGAAGATGGTAGTTCAAAGCTAGCCCAGGCAAGAAAGTCCATGATACTCTAATCTTCAATTAACCACTAAAAAAGCTGAAAGTAGAGCTGTGGCTCAAGTGGTTGAGCACTAGCCTTGAGCAAAAAAGCTCAAGGACAATATCAAGGACCTGAATTCAAGTCCTAATACCAGCACCACAACCTCCTCCCCCACTACCATCCCCCCGCACCCTTGGGAAAAAATAAAAAGATAGAGACACTGGGTCAAAGAGAGATTACAAACTTGCTCAAGACCTTGGGCAAGCTTGTTGAGAGAAGGGCTGGCCTATGAGCACAGGCATTCCTATTCTAGGGCTATGACCTTATTAACCACTCCCCTGCTCTCCCTCACCAATAGGACAGTCCCTAATGGTTCAGACAGAAGCAAGTCATACTCCACGGGTGAGCTAGAAAAGAATTAAAAAGTTGGAGCTGGGTGCTGGTGTCTCACACCTGTAATCCAAACTATTGAGGATCTGAGGATCACGGCTTAAAGCCAACATAGGCAGGAATGTACGTGAGGCTTTTTTTTTTTTTTTGTCAGTTGTGGGTCTTGAACTCAGGGCCTGGGCACTATCCTAGAGCCTCTGTGCTCAAGGCTAGCACTCCACCACTTGAGCCACAGTGCCACTTCCTATTTTTGAGTGGTTAACTAGAGATGAGTATAAGTCTCTTATCTATAATAAATCACCAAAAAGCTGGAAGTGAAGACGTGGCTCAAGATGTAGCTCACTGGTAACAGCATTAACCTTGAGCAAAAAAACCTTGAGAGAGCTGGGAATGTGGTTTAATGGTAAAGTACTTGCCTCACATGCATGAAGCCCTGGGGTTTGATTCCTCAGTACTACATACATAGAAAAAGCCAGAAGTGGGCTGGGAAGGTGGCTCAGTGGTAGAGCGCTTGCCTTGCATGCATGGGGCCCT